GGCTGGGAGGGACTGGGAGGCACTGGGAGGGGACTGGGAGGGACTGGGAGGCGTTGGGAGGGAGTAGGAGGCACTGGGAAGTCATAAGAGGGGTTAGGAGGGGACTGGGAGGCACTGGGAGAGGACTGGGAGGTGTTGGGAGGGAGTGGGAGACACTGGGAGTGGAGTAGGAGGCGCTGGGAGGCACTGGGAGGGGACTGGAAGGGACTGGGAGGCACTGGGAGGAACTGGGAGGGGATAGAGGGGCACCTTCTGCGGGGTCTGGAGGAGGCAGGCACTGGAGAGGGGGGCCCGCTTACTGGGAGTGGACTGGTTGGCTACTGGTAAGGAGCTGGGAGGCGTTGGGAGGGAGTGGGAGGCACTGGGAGGCACTGGGAGGGGGCTAGGAGGCAGTGGGGGGCACTGGGAGGTGAGGGAAGGGGACTGGGAGGCACTGGGAGAGGACTGGGAGGGACTGGAAGGCACTGGGAGAGGACTGGGAGGCACTAGGAGTGGAGTAGGAGGCACTGGGAGGGGACTGGGAGGCACTGGGAGGGAATGGAGAGGGACTGGGAGGCACTGGGAGGAACTGGGAGGGGATAGAGGGGCACCTTCTGCGGGGTCTGGAGGAGGCAGGCGCTGGAGAGGGGGGCCCGCTTACTGGGAGTGGACTGGTTGGCTACTGGTAAGGAGGTGGGAGGCGTTGGGAGGGAGTGGAAGGCACTGGGAAGGGACTGGGAGGCACTGGGAAGGGACTGGGAGGCACTGGGAGGGACTGGGAGGCATTGGGAGTGGAGTAGGAAGCACTGGGAGCAGACTGGGAGGCACTGGGAGGGAACTGGGAGGGACTGGAAGGCACTTGGAGGGGACTGGAAGGCACTTGGAGGGGACTGGAAGGCACTTGGAGGGGACTGGGAGGGACTGGGAGGCACTGGGAGGGGACTGGGAGGGACTGGGAGGCGTTGGGAGGGAGTAGGAGGCACTGGGAAGTCATAAGAGGGGTTAGGAGGGGACTGGGAGGCACTGGGAGAGGACTGGGAGAGGACTGGAAGGCACTAGGAGTGGAGTAGGAGGCACTGGGAGGGCACTGGGAGGGGACTGGGAGGGACTGGGAGGCACTGGGAGGGGACTGGGAGGGACTGGGAGGCACTGGGAGGGGACTGGGAGGGACTGGGAGGCACTGGGAGGGGACTGGGAGGGACTGGGAGGCACTGGGAGGGGACTGGGAGGGACTGGGAGGCACTGGGAGGGGACTGGGAGGGACTGGGAGGCACTGGGAGGGGACTGGGAGGGACTGGGAGGCACTGGGAGGGGACTGGGAGGGACTGGGAGGCACTGGGAGGGGACTGGGAGGGACTGGGAGGCACTGGGAGGGGACTGGGAGGGACTGGGAGGCACTGGGAGGGGACTGGGAGGGACTGGGAGGCACTGGGAGGGGACTGGGAGGGACTGGGAGGCACTGGGAGGGGACTGGGAGGGACTGGGAGGCACTGGGAGGGGACTGGGAGGGACTGGGAGGCACTGGGAGGGGACTGGGAGGGACTGGGAGGCACTGGGAGGGGACTGGGAGGGACTGGGAGGCACTGGGAGGGGACTGGGAGGGACTGGGAGGCACTGGGAGGGGACTGGGAGGGACTGGGAGGCACTGGGAGGGGACTGGGAGGGACTGGGAGGCACTGGGAGGGGACTGGGAGGGACTGGGAGGCACTGGGAGGGGACTGGGAGGGACTGGGAGGCACTGGGAGGGGACTGGGAGGGACTGGGAGGCACTGGGAGGGGACTGGGAGGGACTGGGAGGCACTGGGAGGGGACTGGGAGGGACTGGGAGGCACTGGGAGGGGACTGGGAGGGACTGGGAGGCACTGGGAGGGGACTGGGAGGGACTGGGAGGCACTGGGAGAGGACTGGGAGAGGACTGGAAGGCACTAGGAGTGGAGTAGGAGGCACTGGGAGGGCACTGGGAGGGGACTGGGAGGGACTGGAAGGCACTGGGAGGGGACTGGGAGGGAATTGGGAGCACTGGGAAGGGGACTGGACTGGGAGGGGGCGGGGAGGGCCTGGGGGGTGCTGGGGGGGACTGGGAGGGAATGGAAGGCACTGGGAAGGGACTGGGAGGCACTGGGAGGGGACTGGGAGGCAGCTGGGAGAGGTTAGCAGTGGACTGGGAGGGACTGGAGAGAGGGGCTTAGGCACTGGGAGGGACTGGAAGGCACTGGGCAGTGATGGAAGAGGACTGGGAGGCACTGGGAATAGAGTAGGAGGCACTGGGAAGGGACTGGGAAGGGACTGGGAAGGGACTGGGAAGGGACTGGGACACATTAGGAGGGAGTAGAAGGCACTGAGAGGGGACTGGAAGGCACTGGGAGGTAACTGGGAGGGACTGGGAGGCACTGGGAGTGGAGTAGGAGGCACTGGGAGTGGACTGGGAGAGGACTGGGAGGCACTGGGAGAGGACTGGGAGGCACTGGGAGAGGAACTGGGGGATACTGGGAGGTACTGGGAGGGGAAATGGGAGATACTGGGGATCACTGGGAGGCACTGGGAGATACTGGGAGGAACTGGGGAGCACTGGAGAGGAACTGGGAGGGCAGTGGGAGATACTGGGAGGGGACTGGGGGGGACTGGGAGGCACTGGAGAGGAACTGGGGTGAACTGGGAGGGCACTGGGGGATACTGGGAGGCACTGGAGAGGAACTGAGGGGCACTGGGAGATACTGGGAGGGGAACTGGGAGGTACTGGGGTGAACTGGGAGGTACTGGGAGATACTGGGTATCACTGGGAGGTACTGGGAGATACTGGTAGGCACTGCGGGTCACTGGGAGGAACTGGGAGGAACTGGGAAGCACTGGAGAGGAACTGGGGGATACTGGGAGATACTGGGAGAAACTGGGAGGAGGGGGGGGTACGGGGGGATAGTGGGGGGCAGTGGGGGGATACTGGGAGATACGGGGAGGGACTGGGAGGGGACTGGGGGATACTGGGAGGCACTGGAGAGGAACTGGGGGATACTGGGAGACACTGGGAGGGGAAATGGGAGATACTGGGGATCACTGGGAGGCACTGGGAGACGCTGGGAAGCACTGGAGAGGAACGAAGCACTGGAGAGGAACTGGGGGGAACTGGGAGATACTGGGAGGAACTGGGGAGCACTGAGGGTCACTGGGAAGGCACTGGGAGATACTGGGAAGCACTGGAGAGGAACTGGGGGATACTGGGAGGAACTGGAGAGGAACTGGGGGATACTGGGAGATACCGGGAGGGGAACTGGGAGGAACTGGGAGCTACTGGGAGGCACTGGGAGTCATTGGCCACACCCCCCAGGTCACAACGCCGATGACATCGCCGAGACCGTCCTGATGAACTTCCTGCGGGGGGACGTGGCCCGGCTGCGCCGCGCGGCCACCGATGGAGAGGAACTGGGGGATACTGGGAGGTACTGGGAGAAACTGGGAGATATTAGTAGGCACTGTGAGTCACTGGGAGATACTGGGAGGCGCTGGAGAGAAACTGGGAGGTACTGGGAGATACTGGGAGGCACTGGAGAGGAACTGGGGGATACTGGGAGGTACTGGGAGAAACTGGGAGATATTAGTAGGCACTGTGAGTCACTGGGAGATACTGGGAGGAACTGGGGAGCGCTGGAGAGGAACTGGGAGGCACTGGGAGATACTGGGAGGCGCTGGAGAGGAACTGGGGGATACTGGGAGATACTGGGAGGTGAACTGGGAGGTACTGCGGGTCACCAGGAGATACTGGGAGGAACTGGGGAGCACTGGGAGATACTGGGAGGGGAACTGGGAGATACTGGGAAGCACTGGAGAGGAACTGGGAGGGCACTGGGGGATACTGGGAGGCGCTGGAGAGGAACTGGGGGATACTGGGAGATACTGGGAGGAACTGGGAGGCACTGGGAGTCACTGGCGCCCCCCCCAGGTCACAACGCCGATGACATCGCCGAGACCGTCCTGATGAACTTCCTGCGGGGGGACGTGGCCCGGCTGCGCCGCGCGGCCACCGAGGCCACCGGGGTGGCCACCGAGGCCACCACCCCCCCAGGGGGCGCCACCGGGGCCACCACCAGCCCCACAAAAGGCTCCAAGGGGTCCGTGGCCACCAAGAAGTCCAGGGGGGCCACCAAGACCACCACGGGGACCACTGAGACCACCACCACCACCATGGTGGCCACCAAGAACCCCATGGAGACCACCAGGGAGGTTCCTGGGGTCTCTGTGGCCACCAAGGACCCCATGGTGGCCACCAAGAACCCCATGGAGGCCACCAGGGAGGTTCCTGGGGTCTCCGTGGCCACCAAGGACCCCATGGTGGCCACCAAGATCTCCACGGGGACCACCGAGAGCACCACCGACACCATGGGGGCCACCAAGGACTCCATAGCGGCCACCAAAACTGCTATGGAGGCCACCAACGACACCATGGAGACCACCAGGGAGGTTCCTGGGGTCTCCGTGGCCACCAAGGACTCCATGGTGGCCACCAAAACCATCACAGAGGCCACCAAGGACTCCATAGAGGCCACCGAGGTCTCCATGGAGGCCACCAAGAACCTCATGGAGGCTACCAAAGACCCTGTGTTGGCCACCAAGAGCTCCATGGGGATCACCGAGAACCCCATGGAGACCACCGAGACCACCAAGACGTCCACAGTGGCCACTAAGACCTCCATGGTGACCACCAAGAACCTCATGGAGGCCCCCAAGAGCCCCCTGGAGACCACCGAGGCCACCAAGGACTCCATGGTGGCCACCAAGAACCTCATGGAGGCCACCGAGAACCCCACGGAGACCACGGAGACCACCAAGACGTCCACGGTGGCCACTAAGACCTCCATGGTGACCACCAAGAACCTCATGGAGGCCACCAAGAGCCCCACGGAGAGCACCGAGGCCACCAAGGACTCCATGGTGGCCACCAAGGACTCCATGGTGGCCACCAAGAACCCCACGGTGGCCACCAAGAACCTCATGGAGGCCACCAAGAGCCCTGTGGAGACCACCGAGACCACCAAGAGCTCCATGGTGGCCACCAAGACCTCCACGGGGACCACCGAGATCCCCGTGGCCCCCTTAGTGGCAACTAAGACCTCCATGGTGGCCACCAAGAACCTCATGGAGGCCACCAAGAGCCCCACGGAGACCACTGAGACCACCAAGATGTCCACGGTGGCCACCAAGATCTCCATGGTGGCCACTAAGAACCCCATGGAGACCACCATGGAGGTTCCTGTGGTTTCCGTGGCCACCAAGGACCCCATGGTGGCCACCAAGAACCTCATGGAGGCCACCAAGAGCCCTATGGAGACCACCAAGACCACCAAGACCTCCACGGTGGCCACCAAGACCTCCACGGCGACCACCACGAAGCCTACGGACGTCCCGGTGGCCACCCCACCTCTCGGTAGCCACCGTCCAACCCCACGGGGGCCACCGGTAGCCGCCCCGTGGCCACCCGTCCCCCGCTGCAAGCCCCTGAGACACGCCTACGAGAAGGAGATCGTCCTTTACGCCCATTTCACGGGTCTGGACTACTTCAGCACCGAATGTGGCTACTCCCCTCAAGCCTATCGTGGCCACGCCAGGAACCTCCTCAAAGATTTAGAAGCCACCCGGGCCAGTTCGGTGGCCGCTTTGGGCCATTCGGGTCGACGGCTAGCGGTGGGGGCCGAGGTGGCTACCAAAAAGTTGGGGGGGTGCAGGAGGTGCGGGTTCGCCACTAGCCAAGGGCTGTGCAAGGCCTGCGTCCTCCTGGCCTCCCTGGAGAAAGGGCTACCTCGCTTGGGGTTGGGCAAGCGGGCGGTGGAGGTGGCTACTCAGCTGGAGGGGGGCTGGTGGGGAGGGGGCTACCAAGATGGTGGCCGTGGGGGTTGTTGCCATGGCCAAGATGGTGGTCCTGGGAGCTGTTGTCATGGGGTTGGTGGCCACCAAGATGGTAGCCATGGGGTTGGTGGCCACGGGGTTGGTGGTTACGGGGTTGGTGGCCACCAAGATGGTGGCCATGGGGCTTGTTGCCATGGGGGTGGTGGCCATGGAGATGGTGGCCATGGGGTTGGTAGCCAAGGGGCTGGTGGCCATGGGGGTGGTGGCCACCAAGATGGTGGCCATCAAGATGGTGGCCATGGGGCTGGTGGCCATGGGGCTGGTGGCCATGGGGCTGGTAGCCATGGGGGTGGTGGCCATGGGGGTGGTGGCCACCAGGATGGTAGCCATGGGGCTAGTGGCCATGGGCCTTGTTGCCATGGAGTTGGTGGCCACCAAGATGGTGGCCATGGGGCTAGTAGCAATGGGGGTGGTGGCCACCATCATGGTGGCCATGGGGCTTGTTGCCATGGAGGTGGTAGCCATGGGGCTAGTAACCATGGGGTTGGTGGCCACCAAGATGGTGGCCATGGGGCTAGTAGCAATGGGGGTGGTGGCCACCATCATGGTGGCCATGGGGCTTGTTGCCATGGAGGTGGTAGCCATGGGGCTAGTAACCATGGGGTTGGTGGCCACCAAGATGGTGGCCATGGGGCTAGTAGCAATGGGGGTGGTGGCCACCATCATGGTGGCCATGGGGCTTGTTGCCATGGAGGTGGTAGCCATGGGGCTAGTAACCATGGGGTTGGTGGCCACCAAGATGGTGGCCATGGGGCTAGTAGCAATGGGGGTGGTGGCCACCATCATGGTGGCCATGGGGCTTGTTGCCATGGAGGTGGTAGCCATGGGGCTAGTAACCATGGGGTTGGTGGCCACCAAGATGGTGGCCATGGGGCTGGTAGCCACGTGGCCTGTTGCCATGGAGCCGGTGGCCATGGGGCTACTGGGGGGT